GCCCTGGGGCTGCCCCACAGAATGAAGACAGGGTGACGCAAACCTGCTGTGGAGAGCGGCCACAGTGTTTGGACAGGTTCAAGCCTCAGACTAATGAGAGGGCACAGTCCTCTCCTGACAAAGTCCCAGCTTGGAGGGCAAAGCCCGCCCAGCACAATTATAGCCAAAGGCTATAGCTGTAAGCGTGACCTTAGGGTCCGAACCTGTGGTCCCACGTGGCTGAGTGATGTGGGCTTGATAGAGTTCAGGTGCATGTAATTGAGTAGATTCGAAACCCATGAGAACGTTGTATCCACGCCCTTACTTTGCCTCGTGGAATCTGACTATACAATAAAGACACGGCTTTCAGGCTGTGGTGCTGTCTCTTCATCAGAGAGCAGCGTCCCACTCAGCCTCAGCTTTATTCTCTTGTCTATCTTTTCTAAATCCTTCACCGCCCCCTCTCAGGCTTACTCATGGCCGTGCCGGCTCGGCACAACCTGCCACTGCAGCACTGAGGAGCGGAGGGTCAAGAAATGAGACAGGGCACGTAGGGGCCCGGCCCGGCAGGCCAGTGTTCCCTCTGGGAAGGCCCTGTGGGAGAGCAAGGAGATAAGTGGGTGTGGGAGCTCATGGGGGCTCAAGGGAAGACTTGGTGGTAGAAATTGGTCCCAGACCTGGGACTTTCAGGATGGCTGGGGGAAACCTAGGGCCCCCTCCCCAGCACCCAAACAAGGACAGTGTGGTGAAGGGAACCCATGGGGTAGGTGCAGCGCTGGGCCAGCCACAGGGGGGCCGACAGCTGTGGCTGGAGGGGGTGTCACTGGAGCAGCACTACTCAGCCTGTGGTTTCAGGTAGAGAACACAACCAGACCAGGATGGAGGCTCGCGGGAGGAGGCAGCAGGAGTCTCTCTCCTCCCCCTTTCGCTCTCCTGAACCTGCAGTCTGGAGCAGGCAGCTTCCAGCCCGCAGTCCAGAATGGCTGCTCCAGCTCCTGCCCCCACATCCTGGTTCCAGCCAACCAGAGGGGAAGGGGGAAAGGGGCAGGCCTGTGCCTTTCAAGGAACAAAGCAGAGCTCACATCTAGTACTTCAGTTCCCATCTAGAACTGGGGCAAGGAAGGCTGGGAAATAAGCCAAGTGCCCCCGAAAAAGGGCTCAGAATCAGGGAGAGCCAGCAGGCTGTGCCCAGGAACGAAGAGTGAACACCAAGGTTTTCAAGGAGGGGACCCAGGCTCAGAATCTGCCTGGAAGATGCCAACTGGGCCATGAGAATGGGTTGCTGGTGAGGCAGGGGCCTGTGGCAGTGGGGACAGAAGGGGATACTGAGGAAGCAGCTCTTAAAGAGGTAAAACCAACAAGGTTTGGTGACCAAGTTTGAGGGTCTGTGAGGCCCAAAAGGTTGGCAACCACTGCTCTAAAGCACGCCCTAATGCCTTCCTTTCTCCCTTATGTGTGTTATCTCTTAAACTCTAAGGGTCCCCATGAGACTTGTAACCAGGGGAGCATTGGGCAGTGGCAGCTCGTCCTGGGCTTACCCCCTGAACCTGTCTCCAAGGCCCCCTTTTTCTCTGACTTTCCAATGAGCTAACCATAGCCCCACCTTGGCTCACTTTTCACTGCGACTTTTCACAATGAGCCAAAGCTCAGTTCTCTCCTATAACATTTCCAGAGACCCAAAGCAGCCCCGCCTAGGCTCTCTCCTGTTGCTTCTGCTGTCCTATGCCCCTGGGCTTACCCCCTGAACCTGTCTCCAAGGCCCCCTTTTTCTCTGACTTTCCAATGAGCTAACCATAGCCCCACCTTGGCTCACTTTTCACTGCGACTTTTCACAATGAGCCAAAGCTCATTTCTCTCCTATAACATTTCCAGAGACCCAAAGCAGCCCCGCCTAGGCTCTCTCCTGTTGCTTCTGCTGTCCTACACCCTTTCTTTGTCTCCCTGTCCCCAGCTTTAACAAATGCACTCTCAAAATCGCCTGGATTTGCATTGGGAAATCTTTCCTGCACTTAGTCAAGAACTCACAAGCTATAGGCCGGCCGGAGGCAGACCTGCTCAAGGCCCAGGTCCTGTCCAGAAACAATGTCCCCATTTAATTTTCACACCAGCTTTGCGTGGTTGGTGCTGTTGTTCCTGTTTAGACTAAGTAAACTGAGGCTCTCAGGGATTCAGTGATTTGCTCAAAGCCATACACTGAGTCCCAGCCCAAGTCTCCAGACTTAGGCACCCTGCTGCCTCCCAGAGGAGGAGGGTGGGTGGCAAAGCCCCAGGTGTAGTGCCACTGTGCCACTCTTTGTATCTTTCCTTTAAAAAAATATTTATTGCTGAAAGTATTACCTATGTCCTTTCCCCCCATTGACCTCTTCTAGCCCCACCCCAGGCCTTCACCACCCTATTGTCTGTGTCCCTGGGTTATGTATCTTAAACCTTCTTCAGGCAGTAACTCCCTAAGGCTTGTGGGCCCCAGGGCCTCTTCCTTCAGAAGTACCTGACTCTGAGTCCTCTGGTACAGTTTTCCCCAAAGTGAAAAAATGTTATACCTTCAAATGTCTGCTCCAGGGACTTAGGCTGCCCTAAGTCCTGGCAAGAACACTCCTGACTTTGCGATACCAGTGGCCAGGTGGCAACCTCACCCTGCCTTGGGTTTCTCAGTCTGCTGCAGTGGGAGGGGGCATTGAAGGCTATGTAGTTTTCCAGGCAGAGGAAAGAAGATATGATGCAAATTTTTCATTCTTTGTTTTTTCCTTCAGGTGGAGAGGATATTAGAGAATGGGTGAAAAAAAATACTTTATTTTTTCATTGTAGACTTACCTCCTGTAACAACTATTTGGGTCAGGGCCAAAGGGGTTGTGGGGCACACCCAAGGTGGATTGAATGAGCCCACGTTTCCCTTGGGGAAACAGAAGCTGCACTGACATCTTTGCAGCCACATCTATTCCATAATTTCCTTCCGTGATTACAACTCAGAGGCTATTTGCTTGTTTCCTGTTTATTTGTAACTAGAGGCCAATGCACGAAATTCGTGCAAGAGTAGGCCTTCCTTCCCCAGGCTGCTGGCACCGGCACCGGCTTCCCTCTGGCACCTGGGACCCGGGCTTCCCTCGCAGCCCCGGCTTTGTCCGGAAGGTCGTCTGGAAGGATGTCCAGAATGATGTCAGGTCTAAGTAGCATATTATGCTTTTATTATTATAGATACCATAATGGGCACCTTTGCACTCACCTAGACACAAAATGTAATGGGGCACCAAAAATCTTAGTAATCAAGATAATACTGTAATTTTTAAAATCAAAATTAATGCAAAAGAATGATAAACCAAATAATATTTGAAATAGTTAGGATCTGGCTTTTCTTTCTGCATCCAATTTTAGTATGACTCAGCACAGCACTGCTACTGATCTTGTCTCCGCCCTGCCCCACCATCACTCCTTTTCTCTTCTCAGGGGCATAAACAAACCATCCCCCTACATTACACTATGTGTATAAGCAGTGTTTCTTTTCCATTGTTGCTTATTTTGTCAGTGTTTGTTGATCTATTTTTCCTGCAGTGAAAAGTATGTGGATACCTTGAATTAGGACAGAATACATATATTACCCAATTAAATTTATGAAAATTTATATTTTTTCATTCAGCCGTTTTGCACTTATCAGGAATTAATTAAAATGAAGTGAGGGATAGGTGTGTTTTCCATTCTTAACGTAGTACAGCTACACACTACATATTCTGAAAGTATGGAAAACTACACACAAGTGCCCTGGTAGGTGTGGCTCAGTTGGTTGGTGTCATCCATGCACCGAAAGGTTGCTGGTTTGATTCCCCATCAGGGCACATGCCTGGGTTGTGGGCTCGATCCCGGTTAGGGGGTGTGCAAGAGGCAGCTGATGGATGTTTCTCTCTCCCTCTCCCTTCTTCTCTCTCTAAATGTCAATAAAAACATTTTTAAAAAGAAAGAAAACTACACACAAGTCAGATGAACCCCCAACTCCCACTCAGCACTCCTCCTCCATTCCTTTTTGGGACATCATGTCCTGTGTTTAGAAGCTGGGGTTGTGGGGCACACCCAAGTAAACTTTCAAATATGCAAGTCAGTGCCCCTCCCCCCCTTCACTTCCTACTCACACCTCCTCTCTAGGCTCAGCACTTACAACCAGTGCTGCACTGAGCCCTTCCCAAGTAGTAACTCAACACCCCAAGCGAGGAATTACTATGAAAATGACTTCCCATTTATAGAGAGGCACACAGGCACGGCACGGGACCAGGCAGTGAGAGAGTCAGGGTGGGAACTCCTGGCCTCTGGCCATGCTGACCCCTCGTCTCACGTCAGGCTCCTTCAGGCTCCCAGGACCTTGCATAAACCCTGCCCTCCACCAGCAGGACCACCCCTGTCAGCTTGGCGAGCTCCCCCTCCTCACCACTCCTCCCAGCCTACCTGCTAACTTGTTCAACTGATCGCTCATCCTGTCATTCAGCCCTTACAGCTTCCCCTACTGGACCAACACAGATGAAATGCACTGGAGAGGGAAAGGAAAAGATTCCCCCAAGTTCTGGAAAACAACAAGAGTAACAGGTGTGAAGTGACATGAAACAACTGCAGGGAGGGCCACCATGCCCAGCATCCAGCCGGTGGAAGAACAGTGAGCTTCTGACTCTTCCCCGGGCTCCGGGCACCACTCGGATTTCAGCCTTGGGGTGCAGCTCTGTTGCCGATGGACGATGGACGTGGGTCCTTGCGGTGTTGAGAAAAAAATCATTTTGGGAGACCCACAAGGGAGGATGAGGTCTGGTGGTAAGATTCATTTGGGTGGAAGTAGAAGGCAGTTCCCCATGTCCCATCGCTGTCCCTCCTGCCATGGGACATCAGGGCCAGAAATAGACCCAGCGTCCAGAGACCCTGGGCCACGTTAAAGCTGAGTCCAGTCCACAGTTTCTCACCACCCGGCTGGCTTGGTTCGGGTTCCTGGCTGCAATCCTAGCTGTGCTGCTGTATCCAGGCTCGGCCTGGAGCCTGTGTTTAGAGAATGGCCATGGGACTGCTAAGGCCACATGGCTATGGAGTGAGAACAAGTGAAGGAAAGGGTGAGCGTGTGCCATTGAGAGGGAGGGAGGGAGAGAGGGACTGGCTTTGTTTCCTGGGATTAGATTACCTGGGTTTGGGAAGGACCCGTGTATTCAAAGTAACCAATCAACTTCCAAGCTTCCGGAGCTTCTGATGGGACCACCCCAACCAATCCATTCTTCCCCCAGGCTTGAATGACAGTCCTCTGTGGTCATTTGGCTTCTATGCGCATGCCTCATAGAAGCACCTCCCTGAGCCAATTTACTCCTACTCCACACTGTGTACCTCCCCCTTCATTGTTCTGTCCCTTGCCCCAGTGATTGGCAGGAAAGGACCAGTGGTTCCCTGGGAGTGTGTGAAGCTGTAACTTCCTGGTGAAACAATAATGTCTGACTCCCTTTGCTTTCTTCCTTTAATATCTAGCTACCTACACAACACCTGGGCCTCAGGGACCAGATAGGGGCTATGTAGGGGTCTGAAAGCCTGAAGGGCATCCTGAGAAAGCCACCTCTGGCCTCCCTAATAACGTCCAGGAGGAGGCTGGCCTGGGGCTGAGGGGAAGTGGAGGTACAGTCCCCCTCTTGGAACGAGGCCCAACACAGCCAGTGGCCAGTGGGGTGGGGAGTGGGAGAGTCAGAGGGCTTCCTCCCCCTTTCACTTCTCTGCACCCACTTCTCCCGGCCCTGCATCCTGGGATTGCAGAGCCAGCTGCTGCCAGGCCTCTCCTCGGTCCTGCCTGTGGCCCAGCCTGTCCCGGTGCCTGGGATCATGGGCAGGGATGATCAGACACTTCAGCCACATGAACAGCCTTCCTTACAGAGTAAGTGCTCAGTGAATGAGTGCTAGAAATGCTATGGCTCAGAAGCCAATCCTTACTTGGCCTGAGGGGGAAGCAGCCTGTGTCCTCAGTCAGCCCTATCCCACTCAACATCCTCCAGGGCCCCCAGGCCAGGCAGTTGGTCAGTGTGACTTCACCAAGAGGAGCCCAGGGGGAAAGCTGTGCCCTGGGGGGAGTCCTGCTCCGGGGCAGGGGTGTGATGAGGAGCTCAGCTGGTAGATTTCAGGGCCCCCACAAACAGGGGTTGCCTACTCAAGACCCAAAGACCCAGGGCAACCCATAATCCCTGAGTAGCCCCTGCTGGGCACCTAAACCTCTCCATGAGGGTCCCCAACTCCAGAAACTGCCCCTACACCCCATCTCACCATCTTCCCGGGGCTCAGGTTCCCAGTGAATTCAAGCTTTATTGCCACACAGACTCTGCTGCTCCCTCCTGGCCATCTCTGTGCCTGTGAGAAGGTGGCTTGGTTTTAGGAAGCAAGCAGCCAGGGAGAGCCAGAGTGGAGGGGAGGGGGACCTGGGGAAGGAGGCTAAGAGATCCCACCCCAGGTTTCCCTGAGTGGTGCCCAGCCCAGGGCTGAGGGGGCTGGTTTGTGCACGGGGGAGGAAGCTCATCCTAGGGAACCCTCCCTGGGGCCTCCAAGCACACCAGGGTAGGGAGCCTCAATGAGTCTCTTCCACACACCACGATGCCCTGGAGGGTGCAAGGAGCACACAGTGGAGCACATGGTCGACCAAACCACATGCGTAGTCCACAGGGAGCCCGTGGCCCAGTGTCAGTCAGCAGTCCAGGCCAATGGACACCAGCAGGTCCTCAAGTGCATGTAGCCGCCGCTCCATCTCCTTAATGTTGCTGTAGGTCTGCACCACGCTGGTGATGTGGAAGCGGATGTCATCTACCAGAGGGATGGAGTCCTGCTCCTGCCGGCCTCTCACAGCCGCCGCCTCCTCCCTCACGGCCTCCGAGAAGTCCTCCTGCTCCACCAGCTGTGAACAGGCACACTCAGGGCACACCGCTGCTTGCCACCCACCACAGCCTGCCCCCACCCACTGAAGCTCCCACCGGCCCACCTTCTCGATAACCTTGGCCATGTACTCAGTGCACTGGTCCTCGAGGCGTGCCAGGCGGAACAGCTTGGCCACACGCCACAGGCCCACCACACTGTCCTCATCCAGCAGCTGGGCCAGACTGCGGCCACACAGTCGTTTCAGGCCCGGCAACAGGTACATGTCGGCCATGCTCAGCACATCATAAGCCACCTCCGGGGGCACCTGCAGTGAAAAAAGGGATGAGGGAGGGTGCACCCTAAGGTCAGCAAGGCCTCTCAGGGGCTGGCAGCAAGGCTGGGACCTGCTGGCCAGAAGGTGGCTTTGGGCAGAGCAGGAGCTTCCTCCCCTTGCCAGGTACCTGACCCAGACCCCTGCAGGCATCCATGGGACCAGAAGGGACAGAGTCTGGGGTTCCCATGGCTCAGGCAGGGCAGAGCCTGGGCTCTGAATCACACAGACCTGAGCTTGGAAATTCTAGCTGTGGGACCTTGGGCCAATCACGTCACCTCTGTGCTTGAGATCCTCTGTGAGATGCAGACACAATCATGTCTGCCTTAAAAGGCTGCCAGAAAAGTGACAGAAGTTGCTTCTGTAAAAACTGAGGCAAGGACCCTACTAAAAAGGTGGGGGAGTAACTATTTACCAGCTCCTTCCCACCATAGAGGCTGTGGGATTTAGGGCACAGCCATAGCTGTACCCTGTGCTGGGAGAGACCATGTGCTCCACCCAGACTGTGGATGGCCACAGGGAGCAGGCTGGAAACGGAGCAAACAGGACCTCTGCTAAGCCCCTCACAGGCCATGTGCATGGTGCTTACTTGTGCCAGGCACTGTACTTGCAACATACACATTCATTTGCACAAGACCTTAGGAGCTAATAACTATCAGTATCACCCTTTTCTAGAGGGGGAAACTGAGGCACAAAACAGTTGAGTAACTAGCCCAAGATCACCCAGCTCTGGGGTAGAGGTGAGGCTAACCCAGAGTAAAACCAGGTTTGGAGCCCAAGTCCTTGCTCTGAGTCATTAAGAAGTTGCCCTCTGGGTGGCAAAGCTCTTTCTAGGGTCAGGATGGGCCAAGGTGGATGCTAGGTGGCAGGGTCCAGAGAGCTGAACTATACCGCAGGAGAAATGAAATAAAGAGGTAGGAGGGGTTCTCTAAAGGGCTAGGTGGTAAATACTGTGCCACAGGGTCTCTGTTACAACTGCTCGGCTTTGCCATTGTGCAAAACCACCAGACAGTAGAGAAATGAATGGGTACGGCTGTGTCCCAGTAAAAATGTATTAATGAAATGGGCTGTACGTGGCCTGCAGCCCAAGATGGACTGGCCTGCCAGAGGGTACTCACCTCCACCTGAAGGAGGAAGAAGCTTCTCTCTTCTGAAAGCTACCATATTTGGGGGCTTCTTTATTACAGTAACCTTTGCGTGTGCGCGCACACACCCTGCCAGAGAATACCCTGGCAGAGGATACTCTGGCACTATCTGTAGCTGCCCATGTCACCCTATGTTAGGGGCGGCCTTGGGGCAGGTGAAGACACAGGGAGGCAGAGAACCTTAGGGGTCTGCAGCAAACTAAAGGCAGGGGCTCAGGGCTTCCCACTGTTGTGGGAACCCAGCGTCACTGTCCTCTGGCTGAAGAAGTTGGGGGCCCTAGGTGGCTGACACTATGTCCCCAAGTGTCAAGTGCTCATGACATAGGTCTCGTCACTCATTCCTGTCGTGGATCTAATGAGGACCCCTCTGCCTGAAAGAAAAATCTAAGTGGGCCCCACACTCGCTCTCCGGCCTCATGGGAAACCTGTCCCTCAGAGCCAGTGAGGACCTGGGCAGACCCTTGAAGCCCCACAGTGACATGGGCTGTGTACCTGTCCTGACCATTGTGCCCCCCACCCCTTGCCCCTGGCACAGTGCACACAGCCCACCCCAGTCCGCACCTCAGTGTGGTTGGTGTATATGTAGTAGAGCACATGGGTGAAGACGTGGGGCGAGAGGCCATGCAGGGTGATGGCTGGGAGGCCACCAGAGGCCTCTAGCCCTTCATTCTCTCGGAAGTGGTCATCCAGCAGGGCCCGGAAGTAGTCGCTGCGGCCACAGAAGAAGGCCTGGGGGAGGCTGGGCTTAGGAAAGGCCAGGGCCTGGGCTGTGCCCACAGAAGCTGGCCTAGGGCTTAAGACAGGGGTTTAGGGAGCTGTGGGGTGGACAGCACCTTGTGGCAGAGGAAGCTGCAACCCTCCACTTGGAAGCAAACATCAGGACAGCTGTTGAAGCCATCAGGGAAAGGGAAAGGCAACTCCCCAAGATCACCCTGGGGGATGGGAGAGGAGACACCATTAGATAATGTAGGTGAGAGAAGGCAGAGTGGCTGGCCTCAGCCAAGAGCCCACTCTAGCTTGATCCTGGAGGGGTGAAGGGGGGTGAACTGCAACCTCATTTGCAGATTTAAATACAAGACAAACAACAAAAGTAAACAACTAGGCTCAGAAAAGGGAAGTGAATGGCTCAAGGCCACAGAAGGAACTGAACCCAAATGTGGGGCTTGCCTACCACAGCTGTCCCCAGGTAAGTCACCTGCCCACCAGGCCCAGTCCCAGGCCCCTGTGTGCTTACTCGGAGCTCAGGGGGCAGGGCACAGTCAGCCAATAAGGCCAGGTCCTCCCGGAGCCGGGGGTCCTCTGCGGGGGGCCTCATGCTCAGCACCTTCACATGAGTGCCTGGCTTGGACGCCACTGCAGAGATAGTGCAGCTTCAGGAAGCCAGGTTGGCCCTGCCAGTTCCTGCCCAAAGCCCTGGACCCCAAAGTCTGGACGTACCAAACTCAGACACTTCCTTGCACTTGGCCTCCAGGTCGTTGAGCAGATCCAATAGCTGGCACTGCTTGGCCAGACGCTCACAGTCACTGATGTGTTCCACACCGACATCCAGGCCACCTGGGTGCAGCGTGGGAGGCTCAGAGCCCGAGAGCGGCCGTTAGCAGTGCCCAGGCACATAGCGTTTCATAGGTGGTCCCTCTGCTGAGACTTCTGGGCCTACATGCTGCCTTAATTTCCCCTCAAGAGCCATTGTCTGAGTTCTACAGACCCCAGAACAGATAAAAGGGGGCTCAGTTTTGGGGTGAAATAAGCTCTTCCCTAGCAGAGCCCAGCTCATTGTCTCCCAACCCAACCCAGGAGGCAACTGGAACTGCCTTGCGATGCAGGGGACAAAGCACCAGGTGGTAGAAGGTCAGCCCAAGGCTACAGCTGGACCTGCTGCTGGACAGAAACGCAGCCCTCTCCCTGCCCGCCCGACCCAGGCCTGGGGTGTCACCTGTGTACAGGTACTGCAGCAGGGCCCCAAAGGCCACAGCGTTGATCTGCAGGCAGAGAGCCGGGAAGGAAGGTCAGAGCCTGGTCCAGCACAAGCCCCCCGCTGTCCCTCTGCTCTCCCACCCCAGAGAGGGATGCACCAGTGGATGTCTGAGGACCACGATGCTCTTGCCCTTCCACTTGGTATCCAGCATGTTGGCAAAGTAGCTGCTACGTGCACCCAGAATGCAGCGATGGGCCCGGAAGGGCTTCCCGTGCACCACAAAGAGCACATCACTGTGGATGCCTTGATCCAGAAGCCTGGGGGGGGGGTTTTTGGGGGGGGGGGGGGGGGGGTAGAGAACAGGTGGAAGAGGGCTCAGGAGAGTGCCTCTCCTCCGTCTCACCACTCCAGTCCCTCATATCATCTTGTAGGAAGGCTCTCAGCCCCCTGCAGGCCACACCCATCACAGACCCACTGGGCAAAGGCCATCAGATGCCCCACACTCCATCTCACCGCTGCAGGAATTCATCATAGTAGTCCCGCCTCCTGGAGGAGGGTGTCACTTGCTTATAATCAAGCAGGGCCCGGCGGATGGTATCACTTGCAGCCCCATAGAAGCAGCGTTCACCGTGGAAGGTGTTGGCCTCACAGCGGGCTCCTAAGGGCAGCAGAGCTCATCAGTTAACAGGGCCATGGGGTGGCATGCCGCAGCTGGGGAGGGGCCTGGGGAAATCCTAATCTTCATCCTCCTCCTCCACTTCTCCCTACATGTAGGGCCCATAGCCCTAGAGACTCCTTCCTAAATGACCCTGGGCCCACTCTGACCCCAGGGCTCAGGCACACAGGCAAAGTCCTGTACACTCACATACACATATTCACTCACACATACCACAAACTACACAAAACAGAATAGGCTCAGAGACTGGCCCTGTTCTATGCACTGGGGACACTACCATTAAAAGACAGGTTCCTGTTCTCACTGAAGTGAAGCTCCAGTGAGGCAGAAGGACAATAAACAGATTAACAAATGATATCAGGTGCTATGAAGAAAAACAAAGCAAGATGAAGGGTGACTGTGATGGCAGCTGCCAGAGAGGGAGGCCAAGGAAGGGCACTGTGGCGGTGACAATGTACAGAGACCTGAATCAAGTGAGACAGTTGGCCATGCAAAGATCTGGGAAAGGGCATTCTAAACAGGAGGACTAGCACGTGTAAAGGCCCTGAGGCAGAAGCAAGCTTGGAGCGCTGGAGCACCAAGGAGAAGACCGGTGTGGTTGGCACAGTGAGCACTTGGGAGAGCCAAAGAGGAGGCCAGAGAAGGAAGAGCAGGCCATGTAGCAGCTCCCAGGCAAAGCAAGGCATTCTAGTTCTATGCTAAATACAGTGGGAGCCATTAGAGGATTTTAATAAGCTCATCATATTTGTTGAGCTCCACTTGGCTACAACATAGAAAACAGACTGTAGGTGGGGCAGAAGGGGCAGCAATAAGACCAGTGATGAGGCTGGCACTGCATCCAGGGAGAGATGGTCCAGGGAGAGATGCTGTAGCTGGGTTGGGCAGGAGCAATGGAGATGGAAAGTGGACAGAGGAGAGAATAGGTTCTGAAAGTAGAGCTAACAGTACTTGCTAACTGGGTGTAGGGGTGAGGGAGAGGACTTAAGGGTGTTTGCAAATGTGTACACATGCTCTAGAGCTCTTGAACACACGTACACACACACACACACACCGGTGGATGGTATTCCTGTCCCCTTCCCCTCACCATTGGCCAGAAGGTAGAGTACCAGTTCTTCATGCCCACATAGACAGGCATAGTACCTGAGGGGGAGAAGGAAGGAGTACTGGGAGGCAGCTGTCAGGACTGAAGGGGCTGCCCCACCCACCCTGACCACCCATCCCCTAGCACTCACAAGGGGGTACTATCCCACTTGTCCCATACATTCACATCCACGTCTCGCTGCTCCAGCAGGTACCTGGGCAGGGAAAGGGGAGGTCAGAGCCTGGGTCAGGACAGGCTCATAGTCTGGGAGAGAAGACACCCGTGTAAGGGGAAGGAGGGAAGACATTCTTTTTGGCTGAAGGAAGTCTCCCCCAGGTGAGGGCAGGTGACAGGCAGACCAGAGCAGGAAAGACATTCCAAGCAAAAGGGCCAGTGAGGCAGGATGTAGAGGTGGGAACACAAAAGGCAGACCCTGAGCTGAAGAGGCTGAAACTGGCCTGCAGGCATTTGGGAGTGACCCCTGCTCTGCTTCCACAGGACCCTCTGGCAGCTTGGGTCCAAAGAGGAAGCTGCTTGCAGGCACTCTGGTGGCAGGGAAGCATGGAAAGAAATAGACAGATTCTAGAAGGCGGAAGTCAGGAGGCAGGTAGCTGATGGAATGTCCAGGTAAGGGGGTCATCATGGATGGTGGTGGAGCCATCACTGAGCAGGGCCGCCTTGGGGGACATCCAGGTTGCACGAAGGAGTGCTGAGTAGCATTTAGCGTTGGGAGTTACCAACTAACTCCTAGGGGGCACCGATGTGAGGGAGAGGTCAAGGGAAGCTGTGGGCGTAAGTAATGGGGAAGGAAGGGCCAAGGAAGACAGGTTCCCCACCCCCAATAGGGCACTGTCTCCCTTCACTAGAGCCACTGAGATGGCGATTTCAGCGCCATATTTGCTTTAGCTACATTTACGAATTTCTGAATCCCCGGTGACCAGAAGCCGATTCTGGTCCCTACATGTTCCCAACGCCAGGTCCAGAGGCATGAGAGGAACCACATCGAGAGTCCCAGGCCTGTCCCCAGTCTGCCCCCAGCACTCAGAGGGTGAACTTCCTCTCCGCCCACTTCTCCTCCCGGCCTTCCGTGGCGGTGTTCTCCAGCACCGCCTCGGGGACCCGCCCCCGCGCACCCCCGCTGGGGAGGCTGCCGTGGTCCCTCCCTGGCCTGTGAGG